AAACAATACAAGACCTCACCTCGTGGTCACCCCACCCACCTTACATGGGACCTCATGGTGCATTTTCCTGCTCTGTTTTCAACTACTATATTTATCCTTCGTTGGTTCAAGTTCTGCTTTCTGGTTTACCTGCTGTACTTTTCTTTCTTCTAGGTTAGCCCCTGACATTCAACAGGCTATTTTCTGCGGCACCATATTTCCTCCACTTTTTCTGAAAAATACATGCTACATGTTCTATTATGGCAAGACTTCTTTATTAGCATAAAAGATCTAATACTTGCCTTACCTATAGAACATCCTTGGTTTGAATCTCAGGAATAATGCTTGTTAGATTTGTTAGTTTGTTTGGCCATTTATAGTTATTCTTTCCCTTCTTTCTTTTCTGCTGGGCAGTTACTGTTTTTTTTAAAATAAATAAGTACACAGGCATACCATTTCATTAGTTTTCTAGTGCCATATTTTTTTCCTCTCAAGGTTGGGGGCAATGTACACTATATTGCCAAAAGTATTTGATCACCCATCCAAATAATCAGACTCAGTTGTGAGCGAATACTTTTGGCAATATAGTGTATATTGATGGAACTATGTGGAAGAGCCACAATACAAGAATTTGGCTTAACATTGCTAAATTTGCTAAATTTGTACCAAAGGATTTAATTCTATAAAACAGAGAACAGATACTAATAAATAAAAATCAAAGAAGGAGTAACTCCCTATACACAACAAGTTTGGGATCAAAGTATATGTGTGCTTCTCTCTTTCCTTGACTATTGAATTCAAAGATGATAGTTTCTGTTTGATTAGGCATGACTGGCATAGACAAAAATAACTTTCTTCAATCAAGGAGTGGTATGATTTTTTTCATCCAGAAAAATTAATATGCTCAAAATTTGAATTTTTATGGTCATTTTTTATTGCCGAGAATTCCTGAGAAAACATAGCTGCTTTGAACATGACATTTATCATACTCTCCCCCAAGATAGCCTGATTCTGGTTTGTTGTAGCACTATTTTTAAATGTGTAGCAGGAGCTCTTAAAATGGAGAAGTAAACTCATGTGACTCTTGAATGTTATAACTTCATATTTCTCAATTGTTTCAGTAGTTTCTTTAATTCTTTTCAGAGGTTTAAGCAGGAGCAAGTGGGTTGGATGAAAACATTTCTTTATTACATGAATTTCAAGATTGAAAAACATTATTCTTGAATTATTGTATTTTTCTGACATGTCCTCCCTACAATTTCCAAAGGTTATTTCCAGATTTACTTGTTCTTTTTATCTAGAGACTCAGGCATGTAGCAAAAATACCAGTAGAGTTCAGTTTCTAAAAAAAATCTCAACTTATTCATGCACCCCAGCACACCTCCTAATTCAAAATCTAGGCAACTATCAGCAGGTTATATTTGAGTTTCAGAAAAATAAAGGCAATGTTTATTGCATATGATGGCTCCCAAAATCTATTTATTTAAACTTTCTATCAAAACCTGACTAGTGCATAAGATTGGCCCATACAACTTCAGCACTTTTCTCACCTATCCTGGATTTTTTCTCAATAAACTGCCATTGCCTTATCCAGTTCACATGAAAATTATGTTATTTTGGAAACCTTTTGTTATTCAAACTCTTCGTTCTATATTTTCCCATATACTGTATCATCTAAAACGTTAAGCAAACTTGTTTGCTTTTATGTACTGTTTTTTTTTACTACAGGAGTCTCATAAGCTCCTTCTTTGATATAGCCTGGCTTTTATTCTTCTAAGTCTAAAAAATGTAACTCCCCAGCCAATTATCTCCCATTTTGTAAATTTATCTTTACCTAATATCTACCCCTCCAAACTCAAATATTATTTTTCTTCCTCCCCTGCCTGTAGCCAATTTTATGCATATTCAATCAAAAGTCAATTTACTACTTTGGAAACTTACTTTGGATGCATCAACAGAAATATGTCAAGATTATGGGAATTTATAGTTCCACTCCATTCTGCATTGGTCACTCTGCACCTGGAATACCATGTCTAGTTTTGGTTGCCACAATACAACAAGGGTGTTGAGGAACTGGAAAGAGTGTATAGAAGAACAACAAAGATAGTAATGGGCCGGAAGACTAAATTCTATGTAGAATACCTAAGGAACTGATAAATTTAGCTGAAAGAAAATGTGATAGCAGTCTTCCCATACTTGAAAGGTTATCACAGGGAAGAGAATATAGATTTATTCTTCATAGTCCCTGAAGAAAGAAAAGGAACGAATGGGTAGAATTTTACTCTGAGAGAGCCAAACTTTATAAAGAGGAATTTCCTGACTGTGGAAGCTATTAAGTAGTGGGACAGATTGCCTCCAGAAGCTGTGGTTGCTCCAGCATTGGGGGTTTCAAATAAAAGCTGGAATCATTTGTCGTGATTGGAAGATTCTTGCTCTGAGCAGCAGGGTAGATTACAAAACCACAAAAGTTCATTCAACTCTATATTTGTGTGGCCTGTATCTAGAAGATAGAAAATACCTCCATTTGAGACTATTGTTTTTATGTTATTCACAAAATTTTATGAGATGCCTAAGTCCTCCATTTGTAACATTCACTTGTTTTCCTTTCACTTCTTTATTTGCTAGACAAAAATGCTTTGAGATGGATAACCCTTAATGTGCATAATCAAAGGACATCATGGCAGCTCTCCGATTCTTTTACCTTTAACACATTTTTTCCAGAGGTGGGTTGCTCCCAGGTTTTTTGGCTTGGGTTGCAGAACTGGCAACGATCAAGGCTGGCCACGCCCCTGAACTGGTTCCCTGACGGCATGTTGTTTTGTAGTGCGCACTTGTGTGCAGTTCACTATAAATTGTTCTGCGCATGCACAAAAAAAATTATATTGAACTGTGCACACGTGCATAACGCGCATCTGGTGCAAAAGAGAGCAAAGCGAACCGGTAATAAAACCGGGAGCAACCCACTTCTGATTTTCTTTATAAAAATGTAATAAATTATGTTATAAATTGTGCTAAAAAGCTGGGAAAGAAGCACAATGATCTTCATTTAAGGAGAGATGGAGAATTGTATAACAGCTCTGGTTGCTAGTGATATGAAATCCTTTTAATACCTTAATTAAGCTTCACTTAATATCATAACAGTGGATAAGAACCATAATAGGAACCAAAACATATAAAAATCAATCACACTACATACCAATCTATAGCACTTAGCACAATAATATTCCATTGTTTATCATAACTAATTTCTGGTTTAGAAGCATTTCTGAAATGAAGTAATAGCTTAGAATAATCCCCATTTCTGTAGAAAAAAATTCTATGGTGTAGAGAAGACACTTTTTTGTGCACCTGATCAACACTTGCCTGGGTTTAGTTTTATTAGATGTCTGGCAAAAGGATAGTTTGTCCTCTTTTTTGCCCTCATGTCCTCTGTTCAGAAGGCACAGCCTTAAAATCAAATATGTCCCAGCTTTCTGAGTATTTTTTTAAAAAAAAAATGGGTTGTTTTTACAACAGTAATGATTCAAAATTTCATACATTGTGATCTTGAAAATAGCCTGCTTCTTTCTTTTCCTCATCTATCAACAAATTTGACAAACTAGATGTATGTTAATGATCTTTTTCCTAATTCTAGCAATTGGCTTCAATCCAACCACTTAAAATCCATGATCTTTGTAGTAAATAGATTGCATGGCTTGTTTTATGTTTCTGTGATAAAACTTGAAAAGCATGTCATCATCAATTCAATGTTATTGCTAGCATATGTATTCTTGAAAACCAGTCTTTCTGATGCTGGAAAAGTAATTTCACATACCTGTAAGTCTAAGTACATTTTTTGCAGTATTTGCTGTAATTTTTGTCGCAGCTGCCAAGAAAGTTAAAACAGTTTTTGTGTATCCTCCTTTTCTCTTCAGCTGTCCTTCCTTTGAATTGTCCCTTCTCCTTTCTCCATTCAGATATATGGTAAATATCGCTGGTATTGAAAGTTGAGCAGGGCTGGTTCTGCCTGGTACTTGAATGGAAGTGCAGCGGGAAACACAAGGTTGTAGGATAGACTGGTGAGTCAAAGAAACATTCTGGAAGAAGGCAGTGAGAAACCAGTGCCATACTATTACCTGAAAATTTCTTGACTGTATCCCAGTATCTTCAGAGTCAAGTACAGTTGGAGGGATAATAAAGCATAATAAATGCTACAAACATAGTTCCCAGATGAAGTGAGCTGCAGCTCATTGCACTTTATGTCTTTTAATAAAATTGTCTGTTCAGAAAAGGTACAACCAGTCTAATTTCAATTCCCTCGCCTTATGGTTGAGAAGCATTTGTAAATATTTTGTGTTTCTTTTCCAATATTTATACAGCTTGCATCATAGGCTGGTTAAAGTTGACAGAAAATTTCTATGACAGCATTGTAAAATAGTGCTCTATAAAAACTGCTGGTCAGAGATGGGGCAGAGATCGGTTTGTATTTCGGATAGTATAAATCATAACCTACAAATAACAATTGCAATAACCAAACTGAAATAATTAAAGTTATTGATGGGACTCAGATTTAAAGCTCTTAATTCTCTCATTACTGAATGCAGGTATATTGCATTTCAGAATTTTCAACCTTCCGGTAAGCAAAAAACAAACAAACAACCGTATTGGAAAGAGAGGCAATACGGTTGCCTCAAACGAGAGGCTCTTTTAAGGATAGATAAAAGATGATAAGGAAAAAAAGGATTTAAAAAAAAGCTCATTTCAGGCTTTAGTGCTTAAAATACAAACCGAACTCCATCCCATCTCTGACCTGTCGTTTCTTTACAGGACCGTATCACGATAGTGTCTTTGTTACAATTGTGTCTTTTTCAGGATACCTGTTACGCTATCCAATCACAACTTCCATAAAACCTGCGCGGCGTCAAAAACACAAGGATCTTTTTCCATCTCTATAATTTTCTAGTTCTATAGGTTTATGAAAGCACGTTACGGGTGACGTTTTGTCGCCTTTTAGGCAAACGTCATATCTTTGCGACTCAGTCTCTAAGCAACGCAGAAATGCCTGTGCTATGGCAGCGTGGCGGCTCCTGTTCCCATTGCTGCTCTTGCTGTCGGAGATGTGGTCGAAGACCGAGACTGATAACGTCACCCTAAAAGCGGAAAACTCCACAGATGAAACGGCCCCTACTGGGACGGCCCCCAGCGAAACGTCCTTCCCCGGGACCTCCCCAAGCGGGACCTCCCCAAGCAGAACTCCCGGCATGCAGACAGAAGAAAGTGCTGGTGAGATGGGAGGAAGCGTGGGCTATGTCCCAAAGGCATGTGCCCCTCTTTCCTTTGAAGCGAATTACCCCCCTTATCGACTTTTTTTGTTTTGATTTTTTTGCATTGTTTTTAAAATCTTTGCTCATGCTGCTTATGTATCCCACCAATGTTTTCTCAGGCTGCCCCTGTGACCTGCATCCAGGCTTCTGCGACATCAATTGCTGTTGTGATTCACACTGTGGTTCAGAATGCAACCTTGGTGCCCCTGGGTGTCCCTTCTCTTTCTGCCTTCCAGGCAGTACCAGGTGAATATGAAGATTTTATTTAGCTTTCTAGACATCCTACCAAGACTGGAAGCTTCAACTGGTCAAGAAGGCAATGGCACGGACAGGGATGGGTATGCCTCAATATATCCGTGGGACACCTCTGCTTTGTGAACTGCAGCGGTGCTTCTGGGTGCAATTCAAGGTGCTGGTCATCACCTATAAAGCTGTACATGGTATAGGACCAGGTTATTTGAGAGATCTCCTGCCTCCCATGATTTCTGCTTGGCCAAAATGTGCCAGCAGAGTTAGTACCCTCCGGATACCTTTGATTAAACAGTACTATCTTTTGGGACCCAGGAAGTGTGCCTTTTTGTGTGGCAGCATTGCCTCTTGGAATGAAACCCCCCTGAAATCCATGTGACTCCCATTCTGTTGGCATTCCGTAAAATTTTAAGGACTGGCTGTTTTTACAGGCTTAAGGTTAATTTGAATGGAGAGTATTATCAAGTGTGTTTTTGTACAGAATGACCAGATGCCATTTTGTTCTATAGTGGTCTATTGTGTATTAAATGGTCAGCTGCTCAGAATTGAGCAGTACTTGAAATAAATAAATAATTGAATCTAGAAAACATATTGGAATCATATTTTTGTGATTGAAAAAAAGCACAGTTTTGGAATTAGAGGAGCAGCTTTTAAATTGCTTTTAATGTTAAGTTTTATTGTGTACCAAAAACCAAGTAACCCTTGAATTTAGCTCTATGTTTTGAAAGCTTTTGTTTGATATATATTGTTAATCTGAGTTTGTTCTTTAAGATAGTTTTCTGTATTTGTATTTTTCCTTAGGGCTGTGGGTCGGGTGTGTTTGGAAAAGTCCCTGATTTTCCGAAATAACACTCCCTTCCATACTGAAATTCTTCCAGGTCCTGAGAGGTGTATATTACTCTTCTGTATACAGTTAAATGATTGTAAGTTTGACTTTTTGTCTACAACTAATTATACTCTTCGATTGCAGCTATTCTCTGAATCTAATTTTAGGAATAGAAATACAAAATCATAATGCTTATTTTCTGTAGATTAAAGGACAATATAATAGATTTTGTTTATCATTTTCATTTTCAAATCTTGTCATTTTTCATTTGTCATTATGGTTTCAATTTTTCTAAACACTTTCCTTTTCTCTCTATATTTCTTTCTGATATATTTCTTTCTGATTCTCTCAATATTTCTTTCTGATTCTCTCAATATTTCTTTCTGATAGTAAAATGATGTCTAACTCTTAGAATTCTATTTTTTTCATAAAAATAAACCCACAGTATTAGAAGAACATCTTAATTTAAATATATGAATAGTGTAGTATTATAGTACAGGTAGTCCTCAACTCATGACCAGAATTGAGCCCAACTTTATATATCGGTAAGAGAAATTTCTTAAGTGAATTTTGCCCACATTTTACAACTTTTCTTGTCACATTTGTTAAGTTAAATTAGTTAAGTGAATCTGGTTTCCCATTGACTTTGCTCATCAGAAGGTTGCAAAAGGTGACCATATGACCCCAGGACACTGCAACTGTCATAAATATGAGTCAGTTGTCAAGCCTCCGAATGCAAATCACACGACCATGGGGATGCTACAGGGGTCATAAGTGTGAAAAATAGTCATAAGTCAATTTTTCAGTTCTGTTGTAACTTTGAATGATCAAAGGACTACCTTTATAAGTAGTATATAGTATAATATACTTACTTTTCTCTGGAATAGTTTTTCCAATATCTATTTCATTAATAACTTACCTAGGAAAATTTGTACATCAAATCAAATTGGGGTATCAATACATAAAGCCAATTTGTCTGCTACAAGACTCTAATTATGTACTGTGTAGATTTTTGTTTCTGTTAAAGGGCAAGTGATGTTTGATTTGAAAAATACAACCTCTTTATACCTTATTCACCAAATATCTTCTATTATTCCATTTTTGCACAGATGCACAAATGCTTCTGCCCTAAACCAGTGAGATGGACAACTAATGTAACAGAAAAGGCATATATACAAGCCCTCTGACAAAAAAGGAAAGAACTTGCAAAAATTACACTATTATAGCCCAGATTAAAAAAGGATATAGAGAGGGAATAACATTTATTACATTTGCAATATGGGATGCCCTTTTAACACTGTGATGTTACTGTTGTGCTTCCCCTATCCGTATTTTATTTTTAGCCACACTGAACTATTTACAAGTGCCACAGAAGGTGACAGAAGTAAATTTCCCAGTACTTTTAGCACAATATGGAAGGCCATCATTCATCCCTTCAGAACAAGTTTGGCCTTCTCCATCTGCCTTTTATCAAGTGAGTTGGTTGTTCAATATCCCCCCCCCCCCTTTGAGATATTTTTAGTAGTGGAAAAATGTGAAGCAGACCAGATTTAGATTTTTATAATTTTAGCCTTATCTCAACAAGGTAAGATTTGCCTAGTAGCTTGCAATGTAATATTAGTTAATAATTATGTGAAATAGATGAAAAATGTTGGCTTTAAAAAAAATCAAGTTAAAGCTTAAGTTCTTTTTCTGTACGGGCTATTCTAGGAATTAGTCTTTTTTACCTCTTCTGTTTCCATTCCAGGTAGGAGATCCAATTCAGATTTATTATGCTGCCTCATCTACACTAAGTGTGCTTAAGCAACCTGTGGGCATTGGAACTAGTCAGATTTGCACTGATGAGAATCCTGCTGGTGAGCATTGAGTTTTTAGTAATGTTCTAGCACCAGGTCACAAAGTTTATTGGATTTGGTAACTGATTACAGGTAGTCCTTGATTAATAACTATTCATTTAGCTATAGTTCAAAATTATAATGACACTGCACAAGATTTAACAGTTGGTTCTCTTAGCATCTAGCTTGCAATTATTAGAATTGCAGCAGTCTGCTGTCATGTGATTACCATTTGTGACCTTCATTGCCATCTTCTGACAAGCACAGTCAGAGGAGAAGCCAGCAGGAGGCGATCATATGACATCATGCCAAACAACTGCAGCTATCTGCTTAATGATAGCACACCAAAACTGCCAGAATTTCCAGTGTAAGTTGCCAGTATAAGTCATCATGGTCATGTGACATAGTACTTTATGACACTGTCACTTAACTAAAAGTATTGCCAGTCTCAATTACTACCATTAAAACATTGTTAAGTGAGGACTAACTATTTTTTCAAGAAGCCACCATATGCTGTAGTGTTTTTAACATTGCATAATTGATAGGAAAAATAAATACATTATTTAATTCTTGTAAATGGAGGGGGAGCAAATTTATGAGAAAGAAATGGTAGATGGAACATAGTAATCTTAATTGTGAGCCCATGCCTAGGCGTAAGAATCAATGTAAGAAACATATTGAGATACAGCCTAACATTTTTGGAAAGAAATGTTTTATTGCCAGCACTGTACTGACAGATTGGAAAATTAAATTTTAGTTAGGGCAAAACTAATGAGCCAACTTTCAAATTCTTTAGGACATTGTTAATTGTCATTCTTGAGTATTACTGATTGACATTTTAGGAGTGTGACAAATGGCAACATGGTTCCTAAGCAGTCTTACATAGCAGCTCAATTTTCAAAAATACCCAATTCTAGGTGGAGTCTCAGATTCTGGAAGAAAAGTAAAAGCTTAGTCAGGTACAGGCTTCTCCAATAAGATATGCAGTCTGATATGCAGATTCTGAAACTAGCTCTTTATAAAAGTGTTGGTTGTTATTGTTGTGATACTCTATCAGGTGACAATGTAGTCAGAGCCTCTGAAGTACAAAGTTCAGTATATAAAAGATATACTGTACTGTGAAGGTGACATTGTCAAAAAATAAGATTCTGGAATTTGGCTGTTTATAACTCTGGTTGAGAGAGAGAGAAAGAGAGGGAAAACATGTATACCGTATATAAATATTAAAAATGTTAACTGCATTTTTGAACTCTTAAGTCAACAATTCCTGTTTGTCTGTCTTTCTTTACTTCTTACAGTATGTTCATTTCTTAGGTTTCCTGGAAAGTAAAACTACCAGCTGTATTAGGATCTTTACTGACCTGATGAGCAGTTGTACCTCTGACCCTGCATTGGATGCAGCTTCATATTATCGTAACTTCAGCGTATTGCAGGTGTAAAATCTGACCTCCCATGAAGCATATTAATTTGCTATTTTGTTTATTATGGTTTGTTGCACAGTCAGCCAGATATTTAGACCGGATTTGGCATTCTTGCTGGCCTCTTGAGTCCTTCCCAAAGATCTGGGATAGGCAAATGTGGATGTTGTTGCAGGATATAAGCTATTTCAAGTAAAACTGTCTTTTGCTTGTAATTGATTGATGAATTTGTCAATATTCAGGATCTCCAAATGGTTACTATTGTTGTTATTATTTTATTTCTTTGTTAAGATTATTGGCTGTCCAACTTCAGTGGACTCTTATGCATATTTATTAGTAAAAGTAAGCCTGTATACTTTTTATGTGTCAAAGAAAGAGGAGGAGGTGAATTTAGTCACTACTTTCTTCTATAGAAAATTAGAAATTTTGGGAAATATTATCTATTGGCCTGTTACTGGCAGGAATTCAAGTCCTATAAAAATGTATTGTATATGATATTAATGTAAAAGACAATTATGTCAACTAATATGAAATGCTAGCATTCTGGAAAAAGAGATAATATAATTAATTGCAACAAATGTTTGTATTATCAACAGCACCTGTGAAGTTCTGTGATAACAACTAAAGGAAGAGTCCTGATTTAGATCTGGGACTTTTCTAAAGAGAATTATTTTCCTTGTTTAAAAACAGATATCTCATCTAGGGAGATATCTTTTTTAAGGCAGGTGATCTGTGGGTTCAGCCCTATGGAAGCATTATAGGCAGACTCCCTCAAGTAGGTTTATGGTTAAATCTTTGTAAGTTGTTTTATATTTTATATATCTGATCAGACGAGGGAAAAGATACATAAATACAAATAAAATAGAAAATGGAGACATACATAGGCCTAAAATCAAGAATGTCTCATCAATCTAAACCCTTTCTCCACAGTTGTGTTTTTAGTGAGTAAAATTATATATGAATAGGAGACTTAGAACTTAGATACTAGTATGTAGGATCAAAACTTACTTATAATTATTTTAGCTATAAAATCTCCATTTTACTTTCTTGCAATTGTTAGGTTCTAATAAAGAACTAAATGTTCTCAAAATAAATTTCAGCTTGTTATTTCCTAAACATGGATATTAATAATTCTAGGCATTGAAGCAAATAGAAGTTCAACAGCTCTTGTAGTGAAACTTTTGGTTAGAATTAATTGTTTCTGCATGACTTATTTACAGAATAACCTGATCCTCAAAGATCACTTGTGGCAAATTCTGGAAACCAGAATATTGTTAGATCTATACCCTTGTAGAAAAACTTGACTGCAGGTATTCCTTGACTTACAATAATTTGATTGTTGATCCTTCAAAGTTATAACTGCACTGACTTATGACTGTTTTTCACACTTATGACCGCAGCATCATGATCAGAATTTGAATGCTTAGCAACTGACATGTACTTATAATGGTGGCAGTATCGCAGAGTCTTGTGAGTTTCTGACAAAGGGGAAGTCAGATTCATTTAAGAATCACATGATTCAGTTAACAACTGCAGTGATTCACTTAGCAACAGTCTTGCTTAGCAGGGGAAATTTTGGGCTCAATAGAGGTCATAAGTCGAGGACTACCTGTATTCCGAAACAATCCTCCATTCCTACTGAGAGAAGGGGAGAAATTATGCAGAAAATTAGGCTGTAAAGAAGATTAAAACCTCACATTTATGGCCTGTATGGGTTTATGGCAAAATGAGGCATCTATAGTTTGGGTTTTCTTTTCTTTTTCAGGTCCCAGTCAATTTTAGCGATTTTCACCTCTTCGAGGTAAATTATATTGACTATTTCCATCTTTCCATTTTTAATTTAAGGAAATTCCATCTTGAAATAACATGGGATTATTTGGACTAATATGAAGTGGGAAAGGAAGTGGGGTTCTAGATATATTTAAGAAATTAGATTTGGAATGATAACTGGTTTACTTATGTTAGTCATGACTTGATGATTGGGATCAAAGAGGTCACTAGTTCAGAAGGAAACAAATAAGTGTGTTATTATGCAAAATTATGTGGAGTAATTTTAGAAATCGTAACATTTTAGAAATTACAAAATTTTCTGATTTAAATGGTTGTGATTGAATCATGTGAGGTGAAGTTTTTTTTAAAAATTGAGTATATGTTTTGGTCCTATACAGGTCCACATTATCCCACATTCAGAGCCTGCAGCTCCTGGGCTGAATGGTAATACATGCCACAATGTTGTTTCTGAGGTATTTAGCTACATCAACAATTGCTTTTTTTCTATAATAGAAAAGGGGGAAAATAAGCTAAAGATTATTCATGAGCATATCTTGTTTTTTACTGATCTGTATTTGCTGTATTTCTAGGTGAATTATGAGATGGAGTTTAATGGGATCCATGGAATCCAAAAGATTTACGTTCAGTTCAAATTGACCAATATATCTGGGAATCCAGGAGTCACATTACAACAAAGTTTTTCTCTGCATTTTGGGGTCAGTACTAATATCTTCAGACTGGGTTCAAAGTATACAACTAAACTTTCTATTGTATTTAACCCAGTGGCAAGAGTTTCTGGATTAGTGTTTGTTGTGTCTCTTGACAGCTTTGATTCTGTATAAATACAATAAATGAGCCTTAGCACCAAGCAAGCTGGTAGACATGGTTCCATATCAATTTCATGGCTTTACGCAATTGCATAAAGATCTGCATTGTGGAAAAATTGTTGCAAGGATGATGTAGAAGTCTAGATTCTTTTCTGTCCCACCAAAGTTTCAGGCTTCTTAAATAAGATTTTTTTTTAAAAAAATGACATTGGGCTATATAGCACTATAACGTAGACTAATATGGCAGCTAGAAAAGGGTGCTATTTTTAATATAGAATAGAAGACAGTTTTAAATATGTTTGCTGAAATTAAAGGGGGAAAGTATGCATGGTTTTGGAAACATTACTATCTGGCTAGCTATTACCAGGGGGGGAAAATGACAATCCACATGTTGCTTAAATAGATGTGAGTTTTGCAACAAACATTTCAATGGACCAGAGCACTTCCTCACCAGTAATCAAATACCCAGATTTAGCAGGAATTAAATCCAGGTAAACAATCAATCAGTAAACAACAGCCTAATTAAGGAACTATGAAGGAGAAAAATATTCCCTTCCAGCACTGACAGAGCGAGCTGCTGTAGATATACAGAGAGCAAACCCCACTCCTCTAAAACAGAAGAGGTTACCTAGTCAGGGTGACAAAATGTATGCAAGGAAACAAACAAGCTCATAAATCACTAAGAACTCAACATGCACAGGGATTTTAGAGGGATTTGTTTGCTATCTATATGCTTTTCATGCTTTCATTGTTGGATTGATTTATGATTTTGTTTCAAGTATTTTAATATATTTTAGTGTCTATATCTCTAGCCTAGATAGCTTCAAAATAATCTATTAAAATACCTTTTAATAAACAATTCTACCATATTAAAGCACTTTGGAGTTCTTTTTAAGTAGAAAAGTTGGACAAATACTTTAAATGTATCAATTGTACAGCAGGTAAACATTAAAAAAGCCTGAAAATATATTTGGTGGGTATGAAACTCAGATATACCTAAAATATGACCTTTAGAAATCCAAAAGTATGGACAGTCTTAAACATTTCTGGACAAATCCTTATTTTCTTCTCAATGTTTGATAATTTAGATAAATACAATTGATTATGTTTTATTTGCTTTTTCCCAATTCTCTGTCATTTCCATATGGATGTCTTTCATCCATGGATGTACAATTGATATTATAAGATGTATTGTTTCATTCTTGTTTGATTAATCTCTCTGATAATTTCTGAGTTGCCTTGCAATTCACTATTGTATGGTATTTCAGTTTTTTACTTTTTTTAAAAAAAAGTCTTCTTTACAAATCTTTATAGACACAGTTACAGGCAGTGTTCTTGCCACAGTAGGAGAGTTGTTTGATATTGCATTTTTTCCAAGACATTTTTCAATTTTCCAGTCTATTCTATTTTCCTGATACAGGATTCCATAGTAGTGTCCTGAGTACTAAGAAGGTCAATTGGATACTGCCACCTGCTGGGCATTTTTAAAGGAGTACTGGATAACAAAAATGTAGGCATGCATGGCCCTGACCTGAGAAAGGTCAGACTCATTTCTTTGGCATTCTAAATGTAACATTCTCTCCCTACCCCTTCCTGCCATTTTTCTGTTTCTTACAGAGCAGAAGACCTTCTTTGACCAAACGAAGAAGTGGAAATCCTGGCTATATCAAAGGAGCACCACTAAGAGCTTTATATAATGGGATCCAGCAACATGTATGTTTTCTTAGTCTATATTAAATTATGTTTGTCAATAGATGTGTGGGTATAAGCTTTAGACTAGAAATGGCAATCCTTTTTCTTATGGCGTGCCAAAATTGTGCACACGTGCCTACACCGTTTCCGGCTTCCAGAGGGCTGGGGGAGGCCATTTTGCCCTCCCCAGGCTTCAGGAAAGCCTCTGGAGGGTGGGGATGAAGGGAACAAACTTCTGGTTGGCCTGCTGGAGCTATTTTTTTCACTCCCCTGCCTCCAAAGACTCTCCTGTAGCCTGGGGAAGGTGAAAAACGGCCTCCCTCGGCCCTCTGAAAGGCCGAACATCAGCTGGCTGGCGCTGCACATGCACGCTGGAGTGGACAACTGGGGTGCCAGCAAATATGTCTCTGCCTACCACCTGTGCCACCTGTGGCATGCGTGCCATAAGTTTGCCATCACGGCTTTAGTCGATTGTCCATTGGAAAGCTTTTATTATCCAAGAACATAATACAGAGAAGTTTTCTGTTCCTATGGTTCTTGAAACTAACATATAATTGTATGAAAATAATGCCTTTTGGAACCAGGTTAAGAAACTATATTGCATTTTTACCCACAATCACTAATAAGAGTGTTGTCATTTCTTTATTGTGTGAAACCAGCAGTTACTTGTAATAGATTTTTGATCCAGTAATTCCAATACTTTTTTTAGTTTTAAATAATAGCAATTCCATTTTTTTTCTTTTTCTTTCCATTCTTTTTTTTCCCGGGTAGGGATGGGGGAGTTCTATGTATTTGTTTTTTTTTTTAATTCTTTGATATCTATTCCACAATTTTCAAAAGCTTTTTAACCCGTAACAAGAAATTTTGTATCTATTATAAAGTCAAGAGGGAAGTAGAATATGCCTAGTCTTAATTTTATAAGAGTATATGAAATGTATATTTGATATAGCATATATATATATATATATATACTATATATAATATATATATTATATA